GCACATGCCTTGATGTTTAGTATTTATTTATTAAATGCTAAATAAGTCGAGAAGTTATAGACTGAATGTTCTTGGCTTTCAATTAAGTGGTTTTTTTTTATTTTATAAATGTAGCATATTCCTTGTTTTTAGATTAGTTCTTTTGGTTGTTGTTTTTTGTTTGCAACCTTTTTCTAAAAGTTCTGTATGACAGAAGAGCCATACTGTCACTTTAAAACCATTTATGCTGGGGCGCCCGAGTGGTTCCAGCAGTTAAGCATTGACACTTGGTTTCTGCTCAGGTCATGATCTGAGAGTTGGGGCTCTGGCTCAACGTGGAGTCTGCTTGAGATTCTGTCTCTCCCTCTCCTGCTGCCTTTCTCCCCTCTGAAGAGTGTGTGTGCACATACTGCCCCCTCCTCTAAAATAAATAAATTAAATCTTTCAAAAAAATACAGATGCTGAGGTTATGGATATAGTTCACTGTAACGCTAAGGTTATGGATGTGTAGTTCACTGTAAGACATAATAGCATGTATTCTATAGTTTTCTGTGCCTCAAGGGGAGAAAATTTGTTTGAGGGCCTTTTCTTTGTCAGTTTATATCTGGTGAATCTGACTGCAGGACAGAAAAATTGAACTTAACCTTCCCAAGTTGAGGGGAAAAAATAATCTAAAACACAATGATATGTAGAATGAAATATGATTTCTATGTCTTATATGTTATTCTATTCATATGTGGGCTGAAATTATTCTTAGAACAAACTAATTTCTCTGCTCATCCTAAAAGTTTTTATACAATTATAACATACATAAGCTAATTTTCTTAATTCAGAAATTGTAAAGCTTTGGAGAATTATGTCTTGAAAGAAAAGTTCTATGTATAAAATCTATAGACAGTGCTAGATGTTTTAGAATTTGGGGTTTTGTTTTAACTGACAACTGTCAGTATGGCTTTAGGGTTAAATCATTTTCATTTTCTGGAGAAAAAGAATTACCTGGTTTTAGATCTAACACATAAAATACAAAATTATGAAATGTATTTAAAACAATTATAGTACTTTTTCATTGGCAGGGGAAAAAACAGTTGTAAAGAATAACTCATTTTAGGGGCACCTGGGTGGCTCAGTTGGTTGGGTGTCTGACTTCAGCTCAGGTCATGATCTCAGGGTCCTGGGATCGAGCCCTGCACGTTGGCCTCCATACTCAGCAAGGAGTCTGTGTCTCCCTTTTCCTTTGCTGTTCCCCTCGCTTATTCTCTCTCTCAAATAAATAAATACAATCTTTAAAAAAAAAAAAAAGAATTCATTTTTAAGAATACGACTGAATGCCACAATTCTACTTATACATGATCTTTTGGAAACATTGATTCAATAAAAAATGGTTTTAGAGTGAAATGGAAAGAGTAGTCTCTTAGCAATTTTCTCAAAATGAAAGTGGCATAGATTTAAATAATTCAGTTAAGGGCAAAAGTAGTATTACGAGATGATGGTTTATACAAAAAGACAAGCTGAAGCATTTACTAATTTAGTTAAGGAATGAGACTGTTGCTGGATGATGAGGGAAAGAACACAAGGGTGTTGTTGCTGTGGGTGGAAAGGAGACAGCAGCTAGACCACTGCAGACACTGTGGAGGTCCGCAAGTGCTACCCCAAATCCCTTACCGGGGAGATGATGCTGTTGTTAAAGGCTTCTCCTTGAAGCCCCAGGGAAAGTGTCAACCCCGTTACTGGGAAGTACTGTGTGGAAGAAAAAAGCATGGGACAAAATGGAGGACCCAGATTCTGTACTGATTTCACCTCTAACAAGTAGTGTTATTTTGGACAATCCACCCATGTGTTTGATTTTCAGTTTTTTCAGCTGTCAGCAGCTTGAAATAGATCTCTGAAGGCCTTTTTCTGCTGTGTCTGGCTCTGAACTTTTTTTTTTTTTTGCATGAAACACTTGATGGTTTCTGACAATACACATTGTTTCAATGTTTCTTATGAAATTTCTTTTGAAATTCTATCACACCAAAAAGTTCCCTTGTGCCTATGTGTAGTCAGTTTCCACTTTACCCCCAGTTCCAGGCAGCCACTGATCTGTTATTTCTAATTTTTTTTGTCTTTTCTAGAAATATCATAAATTGTTTCTTCTATTTAGCATAACGTTTTTGAGGTTCATCCATGTTGCTGCATGTATCATTAGTTCGTTTCTGTCTTTTGGTGAGTAGTAGTTCTTTGTATGAATATATACCACATTTCTTTTTCCCATTAGTTGATGAACAATTAAGTTGTTTTTGTTTGGGGCAAATGTGAGAAATGATGCTGTGACCATTTGACTAGCCCTTCTGTGGACATGTGGTTTCTTTCCTCTTGGATAGATAATAGAAATGGAATTGCTGAATTGTGTGAGATATATATACATATCTATATTTATACTTAACATTTTAAGAAACTGCCAAATTGCTTCCCGAAAATGGCTATGTCATTTTACAGTTCTACCATCAATGTTTGAAGGTATCAGTTTCTCCACATCCTCACCAATAAATTTGGTATTGTCAGTCTTTTTTGATTATAGCCATTTTAGAGTGTCATGATATCTCGTAGTTTTAATATTCATTTTCCTAATGGCTAATGCTCTTGAGCATCTTCTCATGTGCCTATTTGCCATTTGGTAGGTCTTCTTTATAGATGTGGCTATTTGGGGCACCTGGGTGGCTCAGTCAGTTAAGCATCTGCCTTCAGTTCATGCCATGATCCCAGGGTCCTGGACTCGAGTCCTTCATTGAGCTCCCTGCTCAGTGGAGAGTCTGGTTCTCCCTCTCCTTCTGCCTCTGCCCCTGATCATGCTTTCTCTCTCTCTGTCTCTCAAAATAAATAAATAAAGTCTTACAGATGTGGCTATTGAAATCTTTCACCCATTTTACAAGATGAGATTGAGTTGTAAGAATTCTTTACACATTTCAGATACGAGTTCTTTATCAGATTAATGTTGCGTAAATATTTTCTCCCAGTCTGTGTTTTGCCTTTTCTTTTTCTTAATGGTGTCTTTTGAAGAGGAAACATTTTAAATTTTGATTAAGTGCAAATTACTCATTTTTTTTCGTTAATGGACTTTCTTTTTGGTGTTGGATTTAAGAAATCTTTGCCTAGCCCAAAGTCACAAATATTTCTCCTGTGTTTTCTTGTAAGAGTTCTAGAAGTTTAGCTCTTATAATTAGGTCTGTAATCCATTTTGACTTGAAGTAAAGTTCTAACTTTATTTGTTTTTGCATATTGATATCCACCTGGTTTAGTATATTTGTTGAAAGAGTTATCCTTTCTCTAATGAATTACCTTCATGCCTTTGTCAGAAACCAGTTGACCACATATGTGGGTTTATTTCTGAACTCTGTTCTGCTCCACTGAAATACATATAGATATAGATGTAGACATAGATATAAAGATTTAGATATATCTGTATTTGCCGTTACAGTGTATCACACTGTCTTGATTACTGTAGTATTATAGTAAGTTTAAAATCAGGTTATAGTAGTCTTTCAACTGTCTTTTTCACTACACTGTTCTGGCTATTCTTTGTCCTTTGCATTTCCATATACATTTTAGCCTCAACTTGTTATTTTCTAAAAAAGAAAAAAAAAACAACACTAGGATTTTGATAGGGATTGCATTGAATCAATAGATCAGTGTTGGGAGAATGGACATCTTAACAATATTGAGTCTTCCAGTTCATGAACTTGGTCTGTCTCCCATTTTATTTAGTTTTCCTTTAATTTTTCTCAGCAGTGTTTTCTATTTTTTAGTATACTGGTTTTGATTTTTTTTTTTTTTTTTTTTTGAGTGCCACGAGCATGGAGGTTGGGGCAGAGAGAAAGAATCTTAAGCAGGTTCCACACCCAATGCAGAGCCCAATAAGGGGCTTGATCCTACAACCCTGAGATCATGACCTTGAGCCGAAATCAAGTCGGATACTTAACTGACTGAGCCACCGAGGCATGCCTTGAATTTCTTTTTTAAACATTTATCCCTAAATATTTTAATATTTTTTGATGCTGTTATGAAGTTTTAAAAATTTCACTTCAGATTATTTGTGACTAGTATGTGGAAATATAATTGATTTTTGTATATCGATCCTGTGACATTGTTAAACTCCCTTACCAATTCTGTTGGGGTTTTCTTGATCCCTTAGGATAGTTTACTCAAAAAATCATATGTAGTCCTTAAAAATGGTGTTTGTGGAAGTACACATTACTCTTACTCTAGAATGATGTTGCCACAACCTAAAACATTTTGGAATGTTATTCTTTACTCAGAATTTGTTAGGTTACCAAGCACATAAGAAAATGCATTTTTGTTAGTTATTGGTGGATATTTTGCTCTAATTTTTTTCTTTTTCCCTTTTATTAATCTGTATTGAGGGTATGTTATTTTTATATGTCTATTAGACATTAAAGGGTAAAAGTTGGCAGTTGGATATATACCCCTAAACTTCAAGAGAAAGGCCTGGTTAGAGGTGTATGTGAATTGTCAGAGCCTAGTTAAAGCTGTAGCACTGGGCATGATCACCTAAAGGGATTGACTAAAAGTTCAGCAATCCTTGGGAGAAAAATTGAGGGGAGTTTGGAAAAGGTTTAAGGGGTGCCCTAAGCCCAGGAATCTAGGGGCACCTTGTGGGGAGTATGTTAAGAATATTACGATTAACTATACATTTGTTCATGAGCCACCTGCATGCATGAAATGCTTTAAGATAATTTTTAATTCCTCACAACTATTATAGAGTATACAAGAAATGTCTTTCACAAGAAACTGAATCTTTGTAAGATCACTGATGCCTGTACCATTTTTTTCCCTTTAAATTATTTACAGTTATTGGCTTTTTTTTTTCTTCAGAGTAATGAGATTTTTAATCACTAAACATTCTAGGCCTCATTTTCTCTTTAATGTCCAGTTTGGTATATTATTCTGATGTTCTTACCTACATTGTAAATATTACTGAATTTATGAGAGTCATAACAAATACCTTTTTTTTTTCTCATTACTAGGCAAATACTGTGGTCTGGGATTGCAGATGAACCATTCAATTGAATCAAAAAGCAATGAAATTACAGTGCTGTTCATGAGTGGAATCCATGTTTCTGGACGAGGATTTTTGGCCTCATACTCAGTTATAGAAAAACAAGGTAATTTTCAACTTTATACCATAACTTCCACATTTTACAATTTCTAAAAATAAGTGTTTCTTCTAGTATTTATTTGAGATTAGAATAGAGTAGAAAGACTGAACAGTTAATAGCACATATATAAATTTTACAAATAAAATTAGTTTAGTTTCAGAATTCTAAAAATTAGAATATATTAAATTTATATAAATTCCATATACTAACATTTATATAAATTCCATACACTTCCCTTTCCATGGTAGAAGAAATACTGATTTTTCACTTTTATAAGTTTGGAACACAAATGACAATAACTTTTTAAAAATCTATCAGTTAGGGGCGCCTGGGTGGCTCAGTCGTTAAGCATCTGCCTTCGGCTCAGGTCATGATCCCAGGGTTCTGGGATCGAGCCCCGCATCGGGCTCCCTGCTTGGCGGGGAGTCTGCTTCTCCCTCTCCCACTCCCCCTGCTTATATTCCCTCTCTTGCTCTCTCTCTCTCTGTCAAATAAATAAATAAAATCTTTAAAAAAAATAAAAATAAAATCTATCAGTTATTGAAATGTGTCATACAAATTTAAAGCTTTGTTATCCACAGCTTACCATTTCATAGTACTGTGTTAAAGACCACATTACCATTCTTCTCAAAAGAATAGATTCTCTCTCCAGGAGTATGCTTGGGAGTGCTGAGATGCTACAAAATAAACCTGAGATATTTGCTAGATTGTTAATGTGGATAGTCTCAAGGGGGAAAATTAAAAGCAAGGCTATTGGGCGCCTGGGTGGCTCAGTCGTTAAGCGTCTGCCTTCGGCTTAGGTCATGATTCCAGAGTCCTGGGATCGAGTCCCACATCGGGCTCCCTGCTCGGCGGGAAGAGTGCTTCTCCCTCTCCCACTCCCCCTGCTTGTGTTCCCTCTCTCGCTTTCTCTCTCTCTGTCAAATAAATAAAATCTTAAAAAAAAAAAAACCCTTAAAAGCAAGGCTATTGAGTGGAATAGAATGCAAAATTTACTTGAATTTCTAAAATAAAATGCAGGACTTGAATAAAATCTCGTGAGTTTTGGCTACTGTGGCATGGATTTGTTTGCTCTTAGGAGCACTGTGGTAGGAAAGTTTTAAGAAGTACTACCAATGGAAGGATATGTCAAACAAAGCAATCATTTAAATTAGAAAATAGATGATTATTTTGATACTGAACAATGATTTAACTAAGAATGTCCTAGGTGTACGAATGTTGGGCACTGAGAATGACTGAGGGCAATGCAAGCTGCTCCATCTCAGCTCTGGTGGGCGTGGGGTAAACACCATAGGACTCATTAACAGTTCCATTTAGAATGTGGTAGAGAAGCAGCTGTTGTGTGGAAAGAAAGGTTTACTTTTTCCTGATTTCTGAGCTATGGAACAAAGTGGGAAGCTAATAAAATTGCTCTGAGAGTGAGAAAGAAGACTCATTTGGATGGAATAATGGAAAGGAGAAAAACTGGAAACATTACACTAAATGAATGATATTTCCTACAGAACCAGAGCAAGTAGGGCAGCGTGGTGGTGTGGGAGGAGCACCCCTGCCTCTGCCACATGCTCACCAGGTGATTGCTGGCCAGTCATTTCACTTCTGTAACCTCCGTGGGTTGGTTACAAAGACGGACTCTAATACATGTGTAGGGTCTGTAAGCACATGACACCATAGGCAAGAAAAAAGTGTCAGTTTCCTCCTTTCACCACCATATATACACACACACACACACACTCATTCCCCACCATCAGGAGAGGAAGAAAAAAACACTGAGGGAGATGATGGTAGATTCTCATTCTTTCAGTTTTATTTCTTGGAAGTCTTGAGTTGATAGATAAGAGGATAGAAAATATACAATTCATGTGCTGCTTATTCTCCTTGAGTTTCCTCCTCTTGGTATCAGCTTAAAATGTTAATTTTTTCTTCATATTTTCCCCTTACTCTCTTCATTATTTATTGAGTTGAAGGTTTCTTTTTAAAGATTTATTTATTTTAGAGAGAGAGTGCATGCAAACACATGTACACACACAAGTAGGGGGAGGGGCAGAGGGACAGAGATAGAATCCTCAGCCAGACTCCCCACTTACGGTGGAGCCCGACATGGAGCTGGATCCCAGGACCCCGAGACCATGACCTGAGCCGAAATCAAGAGTCGGCTGCTTAACCAACTGAGCCACCCAGATGCCCCTTGTTAAGGTTTCTTGAAAATAAATATCCCTTCATTTAAAAAAAATTTTTTTACTTTGGATGTTTAAATTATGGAGCTTTTTATTCTACAGAAACCTAAATGTCCTCTATTAAAGTTTAAGAGTTGACAGTGATCTCGGATAACAGAATCAGTATGTTGTAGACTTACATATGTCTGCTAAATTTCAAATGGTTATGTCACTAATTTAGATGAGTCTTAGATGCCATAGTTTTTTGAAATATCTACCATCATCAGGAACTTCTTTATAGTAAGGGCATAATCATGAGAAGTCCTCATTTCATAGGTCTCTCCTGAGTTTTTACTTACGTTTCTGCATATCCTTGCCTCTGTGAAGCATTTGTTTTATTTGAAGTTATAAGTGAATTGGCTAAATCCAAGAGAACCCTGGTTGAATTTCTTTTTTTTTTTTTTTTAAGATTTTATTTATTCATGAGAGACAGAGAGAGGCAGAGGGAGAAGCAGGCTCCCAAGGAGCAGGGAGCCCGATGCGGGACCCGATCCCGGGACCCTGGGATCATGACCTGAGCTGAAGGCAGACGCTTAACCATCTGAGCCACCCAGGCGCCCCCTGGTTGAATTTCTTACCATTTCTTCTTGGGTGGCCTTTCAGACACAATTTCTTTTAATGACTCACTCATTTGAATGCTCACTGGCTTTGGTTGAGAGCCTCAGTTTGTTTCCATCCAGGAAACTTTGCTGTCACACTGAATTCTGTGAATATTTTCAAGGAACATCACTACATGTTCCCAGCTTAGCAACCTAATTGGAAATTTAGAGTATTTGGGAATGAAAAGATGGTGAAAAATTTTGCTTCAATGGCTTCTTCGTTAAACTCTCACAAACACTTGTTAATGTTATACTATGTATTGTTGATAGAGTCATGATTTTGTGTGAGCTAGACTAATTTTCATGCCTTTATGCAAGAGCACATAGCAAAATTATATTTCCTTCAGTGCCTTATTTCCTGCAATATGCCCAGCACTGGGAAAACAGCAGTAAATAAGACACAATTACCCCTTCATGGGGCTTACAGTACAGGGTTGGGAAAAGACATTAAATACATGGTAGCTCAATTGCAGTTATGACAAGTATAATGAAGGTCAAGTTCCAACAATAGGAGGCCAGAAGGGTGGGAGGAGTGGGAGATTATAAAGAGCCTAATTCTTACAGGAAGTCGCTTTTAAGCAGAGAACCGAAGGATCAGTTGGGTGGTTCTAGATAGACAAAGAAGAAAAAGAAAAACATTCTAGGGAAGAGAACAAAAGATGCAAAGGCCCTGTGGTGGGAAGGAGCTTTGGAGGAGCCAGAAAAGAAGCTGGTACAGCTAAGGTGGCATTGACTGTGTGGTGAGTACGTCACGTTATTCAGGTACTTGTAGAAAGTGTCAGGGTTGGAGCTTATTCCAAAGAGTGTGTGGAAGCTGTTAGTGCTGAGTAGTGATGTGACTGGATTTGTGTTTTTGTTTATTCTTACGATCTTCCCTGCTCTGTGAAGAGTCAGTTGAAGACAGTGAGGAATAATAGTAGGGAGTCCAGTGAAGAGGCTGTTAGAGGACACTGGGTCAGAAATGATTGAATTAAGAGGTCTTGTTATAAATATAACTCTAGAATTAAGCCAGATTCTAATCTGTCTAAAGACTTGAGAAACAGACATATCTTCTACAAGAAAACATTTTAAAGAATTAGGATTCTTCCTATATGAGTTTCAGTTGTAGTAAGAGGCTTTGGACACAAAGAAGCCCTCTTGTATGAATCGGAACTCCTTTAATACCGAGGTTGTGTCTAGGGCACTTTACTTGGTGTCCTCTTTGCTTTTGTGTCCAGTTTTCATAAATTTCATGGTTCTATTCCTTTCAGTTAGGTTTAATGATCTTTGAGCAGTAGTATACACTCTTTTCCATTACCAGTTATCTCTTTTAATTTTTACCTGTAAACCTCAATTTTGAAAGATTATATCTGCCAGTGAAAAGAAGTTTTTCTGTTTCCCCATTGGATAGCAAGGAAAGACAAATTAAAACAACTATTAGCACATGCAGTAGTTATTAGAGGACCGGTATTTCTACTCTGAGTTGGTATAATTACATCAGATTCCAACTAGACTTTCTGAAATTGAAATTTTGTTTAAAGATTTATTCATTATTTTTTAATATATTTTTTAATTTAAATTCAATTCATTAACATATAGTATATTATTAGTTTCAGAGGTAGAGGTCAGTGATTCATAAGTCTTATATAAGACCCAGTGCTCATTACATCACATGCCCTCCTTGATGTCCATCACTAGTTACCCCATCTCCTACTCCCCTCCTCTCAGTTTGTTTCCTATGATTAAGAGTCTCTTATGGATTGTCTCCCTTTCTGATTTCATCTGGTTTTATTTTTCCCTCCCTTCCCCTGTGGTCCTCTGTTTCGTTTCTTAGATTCCACATATGAATCAGATCATATAATTGTCTTTCTCTGATTGACTTATTGCACTTAGCATAATACCCTCTATTTCCATTCACATTGTTTCAAATGGCAAGATTTCATTTTTTTGATGGCTGAGTAATATTCTATTGTACATATATACCACATCTTCTTTATCCATTCATCTGTTGGTGGACTTCTGGGCTCTTAACATAGTTTGGCTGTTGTGGACATTGCTGCTGTAAACATTGGGGCGCACGTGCCCCTTCGGATCACTACATTTGTATCTTTGGGGTAGATACCTAGTAGTGCAATTGCTGGGTCATAGGGTAGCTCTATTTTCAACTTTTTGAGGAACCTCCATACTGTTTTCCAGAGTGCTTGTACCAGCTTGC